GAATGCAGCATGGATTTTAAAAAGAAGAGTGACTGTTGTTTGAAAGTGTGAAGCTCAGGTTTTTGTGCTGTGACACAGCCTTGATAGGAGCGATTAGCTAGTGAAGACTGACAGAAATTGTTTCCAGTTTACTGTCATCACTCCTCTCTGTGTCTTGACTCCTAAAATTCAGATTCTATTTTAGGTATTGCGTAGCGCTCTTGCATTTAGGGTTCACCTTATTCTGTGGGAATGGACACCATGTTTTTAATCTCATAGATGTATTTTCCATTCATATTGAAGAAATTCAAATCTGTAGCTTGTTTTCCAACTGGTCTGAGAGGTGAAGGGAGGGAGAAAGAAGAAACACTATTTTTGGTGTTGAATGCCAGCTACTCCAGTTTGGAGTGAGATTTGATGTGTTGTAGTACGGATGGGACAGAGGACACCACGCTGTCCCTGCTGAGGCATTTGCCTATATGAACAGGGAGTGGGCAGACAGGCATCTATGAGTTCATGCTGTACAGTAGGGTCTAGTAGCTGTATTTAAGCATGGCAAATACCATGAACCCAGGCATTTTCAACCTGCAGATCTATCTGCCAAGATCCTCCAAAAAAGAGAGAGAAGCAAAGCTGGTATTATTACCAATTTAGCATATGATAAACTACCCCTCCAATGGAAAAATCTGACAATTTGAAGAAGTTGACAACTAGTGTTCTGGTCCCAAACAGTTTTAAAGCTTGCTTGTTGCATGTTGTGGTGTTTCTTGGCCAATAACAAGTGGATTCAGTAGTCCGTTGTCGTTCCGCAGGAGATGCGTTTTGACTGCTTTGATGTTCTCCTGCCGATGCTGGAAGTTCAGGCAGTACACTTTTTGTATGCTTTTTACATTTCGAATGATTGTATTCAGATATCCTAAGTCTTTTGGAACTCTCATGCCTTAAGGTCCTGAATTTTAAACTCATTTTTCACTTCATCAGATGCGAGAAGGGTGGCTTGTATTACTTTATTTGATATTTGTTACTGGGGCTGATCCTGTCAAAAAGTAATCTCCATCTCCTACCTTCACCCTGACCATGTATGCACACACGTGATTCTTTTTGAAGAGGTAAAACTCTTTTCTTTTTTTTTTTTTTTTCCTGTGAGGAGACAATGCTCTAGCACCAGTACGAGCACTGACTTTTTTGGAAGGATTACTGGAATGAAACAGCAAAGTACATGCTGTTCACTTGAGAGCTCTAATGACCAACCTCTCTTTTAAAGGCATTAATGCCAAATTAACTTTGTTATTTAGATGTTTGACTGGCCACGCTGTTCAGAACCCTACCGGTTAATGTTCTGACAAAGGAAAAAGTAACACGAACCTGGAAAATAATGAAAACACACCAGGAGAACTATCTTTGCAAACGTTTTTTTTTTTTCCTTCAGGCATTGGCTAATTGTCGTACGTCAGAGGGAAAAGCGTTACTTGAGTTAATTCACAGAATTATTTTACTTAGATGAAATTAAACATCGAGTCACAATTTGACATGGATGTGATGGTCTTCTCCAAACATCTCGCTCGCATGAGGTGCTCTGGTGTTCAAAGAGTTGAGAACTGCTTACGAACTGTAGAGCTCTTCCGTCTGTTTGGAAACTGGGAAGCAAAGTGATTGATTTTTGTGTTGCTTTTCTGTTTTGGAATTGCTGTAGTGAGAGGTACTAAAAGTATTGCCGCTCCAAAATGCGATGGTGTGCCTGTGGGTAGGATGCCATTTTGAATACTTAGCCTAGCGTTTAAACGTGATAAGAGAAATAGCGTTGCGTCCGTTAAGGGTTCCTAGGGTACATAATCCTGCGTATCTGCATAATTTGGCTGAATTTCGACATCACCAAAAGCGGCAAACTTACTAGAAGTTTAATGTTTTGTGTCTGAGGAGAACAGCCAGAAGAAGAGGCTGGCCACAGAAAGTAGTTAATGCACAAGGCAAAGTAACGACTCGGGAAAGGCAGTAGGGCTGACAGAAGGGCTGTGGTGATTTGCAGAGAGTTGCTACTGCCTTGCACTGGCTGCTCAGTGCCTTTTGGAGGTTCGTATCCCTGTGTCTTATCCCAGCCGCCACTCCAGTTTTGGACGAGTAGCTTCAGTTATCCAGGAAGAAGGGTTTTGCTCTTGGCTGCCAGACTGAACTGGAAGCGCTGGTTCACAGTCGTGCTTTCCCTTCCCCTGACCGCGGTGGTTGTTGCAGCTTCTGGCAAAGGGGTGGTAGCAGACGGTCGGGAGGTTGGCGATGTCCTAATCCGCTTTGCTGTCCGCTTGGTAAGCAGGCGGAACAGTGGAAGAGGTGAGAGAAGATCCTGTCTGTTCGAAACTGCGCTTTTTCACCCTGGGAAGGAGTGGTCTGTGAGAAGGGCTCCCAAAAGGGACAGCGGTTAATGAGTCCTGTCTTTTTGCCTGTGCTACATTTCTGTATGGTGGGTGGGACTGAGACAGGAGGGAACTTGGCTAAGCTGCCTTAAAGGTGCAGCCTAAAAGATGCTTTAAGGGAAGTGGTTTTCATTTTTCAGCTGAATTCATGCAGTATTGTATTATGCAAATATCTGAGGTTTAAACAGCTGAGAGGGGTGAAGTTTTATAAACTCCAACAGTTCATCAAATGTAGGAGACCAGATTACTGCATAGTGATGCTGTCAGACTTCTTATACTTGACTTGCATTTCTTGACTGCTTATGGAACAGCAACTAAATAATTAAGACCAATGGCCGTTCTAAATTAAACTTATTGTCCAGTTCCAAAGTAGATGAAGTGTACTTGAGCAGGGGGTGAAGGAGCTTGCTGGGTAAGGAATCAGGTTGGTTTAAGTGGAGCAAGAGATTGCAGGTAAGAGTCTGGAGCTGTTAACTCTCATTTAAAAAATAATAATTTTTTTTTAAGCAAACAGAAATATGATCTCAAAAGAGGAGTGTGGGGAATGGGAAGGCAGAACTGCTAGATAGGCATCATGGTTTTGTATTCGTCTCCGAGGAGAAAAACTGCGTGTATGGTGGTGGTGGGATTACAGGGAAAGTATTTGTGAGCCCAGTAGTCCCTGTACTGTTGTTTATGACCTCTAAAGCTTGAGTCTTGATACTTTGTGGGAAAAACAGCTGTTTTCTGAGCCTTACCTATGCAGAGCTGATCTTGCCAATTAAGTACTTAAAAAAAAAAAAAAAAAAAAAAAAAAAAACCCTCTCATCCTCATGGCATCTGAGCACCTTGTTTTGTATAGGAAACACTCCAAATGCAAACATACCCCAATGTCGTCGTACTTTCAAATGGAGGAGACTTGAATTCACTGATCGATATGAAATCCCAGTCCATCTGTTGGCCTCAGAAATCATCTTGGGGCTTTCTTTAGCACATCCCTTTCTCCCCTTGTCGCTTGCCTCCTCCTCACCCCCAGGTTGCCTCGGGCATCCCCAGCTGCTGTTCTGCAAGGTGTGCCTGACGAATCTAAAAGCAAGGCTGTTCAGGAGAGCAGGATGTTTTGATTTTTTTTTTTTTTGGTCCTTCTCCATTGTGCATCTTTCCTTAGTGCTGCTTGTTTTCCTGTAAGCGAAGGTTGATTTTTTTTTTTTTTTGCTTTTCCATTCTTGCAGTAAAAGAGATGCCAGGTCAACTTTCGGGTGCTTCCAGCTCCCTTTCTGGTGCATAGCCACGCAAGCATTGTGCAAAGGCTTTTTTCACAAAGCCGGGCTTGCAGGGGTGCCGTTGCTCTCCAGGGCCCTTCATTCAGAACAGAGTTGAGAAGCTGGTTCCTAGTTCTCTGTTTTAATGGGAAAACTGAGAATTGGGGATGGGAGGACAGCACACTGAAAACGTATGCTTTGTCACATAATTTTGTTGTGTTTTCTTTCTCTTCTGCTAATGATACCAAGCTGCCCTGGGAGATGAGTTTCAAACTGTAATTAACTCCTGATTTAAACCGACTGCAACATGAAGTCTTACAACTGACTAATTGCAGTAGTGGTTGACTTAATATTTGGTTATCGTCTTTCTTTCAATGCCTCATTGTTTAACCGAGATGTGAGGCCTATCGCTGGTTCAGTCAGGGGGATGAACGGGGATTAAATAGCATCAGAGACATGCTTGCTTTCTAGAAGGAGTTCCAGAAATGCATCGTGCTGTCTGGTTGGTAGGTCAGTACCCAGCTCAGGCCTCCTGGGACTGTCAATGCCAATTGGCATTGATCCGGATCTTAAATCCGGTTTCACCACGTAAACCGTAAGACCTGTTTAAACTGCGTATGGCTTAAACCATGTAGAGGCCTAGTGAAACTACCTCCAAGTGCCATAGCCCAAAATTTCTGCCAAGATCAGTCTTCCTTGTGTTCACGCTGAAGGATGTCTTTGTGTTAGGGTGTCCGGACGAGGTCCCGTTCACATTACAGATTCTGGGTTGTGTGGAAATGGTGTCAAGCAAAGCTGTTGAGATGAGAGCGCTTGAGCTGCTCTCTGAACCTTCCTTCAGGAGGTGGTAGTCATCTTGTTGATCGGGACAGTCCGTATGGACGGCTGGTTTGCTCTGATGGAAACGTCAGAGTTAAGCATGCGGCCCTTTTGTCGCCTTAGCACCAATTTCACCCGGACAGCGTTCTCTTGGTATTCCTAGCTCTGACAGCACGGCTCTCTTTCTGCCCTTTGCAGCCTTCTCTCTGAATACAAGCACAAATGTGTCTCAAAGCTCAGTTATCTTCAGCTAGAAAATCAAATTAGAAGGAACGGGAAGGCACAAGCAGATTTTTTTTTTTTTAATGGGACAGGTTCTCTCTTGTATCAACATCACATTCAAGCAGCTATATAATTATGTGAGAGTGAAAGGTAGAACATGTGAGAGAACAGTTGTTTATTGTGGAATAAATGGATTGGGAAGCTTCCTGAAAACCACACATTCGCTCAATTTTTGTGCAGTTCAGAAGATCCGGAAGAACTAGAGATGATACGGTTAAAACTTACACGTTTTATCGGATTGATATAAAGCAACTTCTTATGCATTATGTTTTTATATATATGATGAAGTAAAATTGGCCTCTAAAAGGGCAATGCGGTCAACCAAAGTGCTATCTTTTCTTTGAGAGCCTGCTGTGGGCGTTCCTTACTGTTCTCTGATTTGACTTTGATGCGCCAATTTTCAGTTGATGAATAATTGTCTGTGCTGATAACTTGGGGAGTCAAGTGCAGTGTGGTAGTACTCTGTGAATGGCGTATTTGGTTTCTGCAGTCCAGGGCATCTGATTTATGACTTTCATTTCAGTCAGTAAACTTGTCAATTAGCTGCATTTGAAAAGTGATTTTGATTAGTGCAATCAGTAAACACAAAATCTCATCTTTGATTGCCACACTGATTAGATAAATTGTTATTTGAGGAGCTGCTAGAGAAGGCAGTTTATTTAGCCTTATAGCTCTAGGAAATGCCTAAGTTTTAAAGACTAACAAAAATAGTAATTGCCATTTCTCCAATTTTGTACCTTTTTGAAGTGCAATTCACTGTTGCAAGCTTTTTCCCCCTCCAAGATTGTTGTCTATCAGCCATACAAATATATAGCAATAAGGTGGCTTTTAAATGTTTTTTGTAATTTTTTTCATTAGATTCTTTCTTAAGCTGCTCCCTCGAGCTGCAAAAGGACATGACTGCAGCAGGGTAGTCGGACTGTTATGTTTTCAGGTGGAAAGCAAGTGATGAAATATGGTTTTTGACTAGTCCTTATTCAGGCATCTATGTGAACAGAAACACTGTGGTAGGCAGAGACTGACGTCTTCTCCCTGGATTTCTCACTAGAGCACTGATTTGACCCTAGCTCTGGAATGGGGGGGAAAAAAAAAAGATGATAAACTTCAGTTAAAATTTGGAGTTCTGACTGAAAGAAAAGAGGGAGAGGAAGTATTAATCTGTGTAGTTGTCTGGATACTTGGAAGTCTTGCATAGTTCACCCTTCAAAGGGGAAAAGAAACTTCA